AAGGTAAGAACACCGATAAACGCATAAAAGCCCTCATTGTTACATAATCTCTTGCTTTGTGCTGGAGCAGATTTTCTTCCCTCTTTATTGCGATTTTACCTTGTCTTTGATGGACGCTTCTCCTCCTTCACTCATGCAATCTCTGCCTCGATCAACATCTCGTACTGCTGAGGATCAGGCCAGAACTTGACAATCTTGAACCCAGCCCCGGTTAGCAACTCCTCCCACTGACTCTTGGTTCGCTCAGAAGCTGAAAGAAGAGACATCATCTGAACGTCCATGGTAGTTTGACTAATGCTAGCTCCAGTTGGCGGCAACACGATATCGTAGACAAAGAGCTTAGAATAACCCTTCGTCATGGCATCTCTGGTGTTTTGTAGCAGTTGGGTCGCTTGGACATTGGGCCAGTCGTGAAGAACAGCGTGCATAAAGTAGGCACGGGCTCCTAGCTTCAGTTAGGACTTGGTCCTCATCTAGTCAGGATGGTAAGACTTACCCCTCACAGGCTGGGGCTTGAAGAAATCATGTACCATAGCCGTGATCTTCTCATCAACATCCGCCCGCTCAATAATCTCCGGTAGATCTTGTAACACCAAAGCCCCGTTTGGCAAATCCGGCCAGGCCTTTAGAACATGCGAGATATCAATACCAGTATTGCCTCCAACATCCACAACCAGCGGTTTGCTAAGATCAGCACCCTCGATCAACTTGCTAGGATCGTAAATCTTAGTCCAGGGTGTCTTCCAAGACGTCCAGGCCTCCATGTGACCTGTGAAGGCTTCATAGTACTCTGGACTCTTCTGAAGACGACCGAAGAAATTGAGGCCATCGGGATCGCTACCTGCGTAGTTATTGTCTTCTGCTGCTGTGGGGACTTTGTAGCCTATCTTAGCGAGATATTTAGGGAGGTTCTGCCCAGCTGAGATGTACTGATAAGTTCTAGGTTTCATTAGTTGACGTGTTGGTTTTGTGGCTGGGAGACTTACGCTGCTTGGAGTGACGCTCGGACCTTGGTACTTTCATCACCAATGGCGTATGAGAATGGCGTGGGCTTGAAGGTATCCACGTCTGTCTCCTCAACCACATAAAACGCGGCCAGGAGACGGAACAGACGCCCTAAAGATCCGTTAGCTTCGAACGACATAACAGGAATACGACTGCTCACTCAACAAGTTAGGCTCAGCATCCCTCCCAGTCAACTTGACCAAGTCATCAATCGTCTTCTTCCCCCCGCCCTCTTTCGTCCAAGCCTTCCAGATCCCTAGATCGATCGCGGTCTGCAGCGCCGCAAAAACTGCAGGATGTTCGAAACAAAAGCCCCATGCTCGTTCATATGGAGTTTCGATTCTGGCTAGTAGACGACGAGCGGCTGCACGGACACGCAGACGCTCGACTTCATCGCCGCCGAATTGACTGGGATTTACCGCATCGAGGGTGGCGATGATGTCGTTCGTTGACGAACCGACCGAGCCCATTGTGAAAAGTCAAGTATAAGAATGTGAGTGCGTTTGGGAGTGGAGTCAAAAAAGAAATGTTAATTGGAATTGTGATAGAAACTGGCTTGTATAAATAAGTTCCTGATTCACGATGAGATGTCTTCTCTTGGACTAGTGACTCAGTTGATGTGGGAGAACCCTGCTGCCCCTTGCTGGGATGAGAAGTTGGTGTGGAGGGGCGTCTCTTTGAGCGTTATCTCATCACGAACTGGGCCAATACTGGCTTTGCCTTCAGCTACCGTGCAGAGAATAGCAGAGCATTTGACGTATACAACGGGTACGTGTTGTTCTTAGCTTGATGTGTACTGGGGTCTGCCCCTCCGTCCCCAATGAATAAAGAAGGGTTCTTCGTGACATTTCCTTCGGATGTAGGCTACGAAATGGTTCTATACAAGTTGAATGTAGGTTGGATTACATTTTCTACAGTATTAATGACATAGTCGTACTATTCTCCACGTGATGATATACTACCTATCGCCAAGATGGCTCATATCAGGCATCAAGCAATGTCCGTGGTACCAATTCACCAAAAATAATATGAATTGCTTCTCATAATGATATGTCAACTGATGGATTGTTGCCCCATCCTCTTTTGGCCCTCTCTGCAACAGGGTCGCTTAGCTAGTTCACGCTAGGATGCAAATCCCACGGGGAACACGGGGTGTTTCGGGTAATTCTTCGCGTTATGGATTCACTGCCAAATAACCCGAAGTCTTGAGCCTTCTTACCTTCGAGAACGCCATAGAAAGGCTGTTGCTGCGAGATTGATGAGGAACGTGTGGTGGGCTCCGAGTCAAAGAATATGCAAGATCCAGCCACTTCGTGGCTACCTGCAGCACGTACTGTACGACTCGACCGTTGGCCAATGCTTCTTAGCGGTTGACCCGTAACGGCCCGACGAAATGACGCGGTTCATAAATGCAACGTTGAGCCGCAACCATCATATCCCGACGTCGTTCTATAGCGGGTCCATTGTAACCTCGCCTGAATCCTCCGTCAGGTGATCTCGAAATAAACTCTCATACTCCTTTAATTGAATCCTGGCATCGGAGCCGCTTGAAAAGGTTTCTGCGGCGAATTTTCTCTGGTTTCTAAATATTAATAGGCGATGTTACTCTGGCGGTTTCGCTTCCGCTAGCGGAGTTTCCTCGACTGACACTGTCAGATGTCATATGCAGTTGGTTAAAAATGGGGCCAATCATGATGGTGGAGGAACATCATGTCCGGTCGGAGGAGAAAAAGCAAAAAGAGAAAACGTTGGACGGTTGGAGGATACGTGGGGACGGGTCGTTGTCTCGGCAAGTCTCACGCGATGGCGGCATCGCAGGAGAATTGGTTAGCTGCAGAATTGACTGCAAAGCTCTTGTATTTGAGGTGGCAAATATACATAAGTTCCTGCAGCAGCCCCAATCTTTGGGTTCTGCCAAGATCCAGCGTGGTGTAACCCAACTCGAAGTCTGCCATGTATGATATCACATGAGAAAAGAGATAACAAGCCCGCATCAGCCAACAGTCACACCATGCTTGTCCTGGTCTCCAAGTTCCAACACAACTCACTACCGTTATGCAACGACTTATTATTGGTTTGTCGTCAAGTTTGCCTCTCGCCTGCCAGAGAAACCATGTCGCTAACAAGGGCTTTCGCGTAGATCTCGTCAGAACAAAGGATAGTTAACAATCCTACTTAACAATGCATTGAAACGCGCTAGGGAGTAATCATTTGCTCCTTTCTTTTTCCTGGGGACGCATAATACTCAGCTGCCGGAACCGTATGACCAGGAGCAATGGCGAGTCGATAACATCTTGAGGCCCAGCAGATAACGCGAACTACTCCAGTCTGTGCTATTTCTCTTTTCTCTACGAATATAGCTTGCTTGGGATCTTTGGTGGCTGCAATCATGACGAGTTACTATGGAGGCCTGGGGCCGATGCTCAATGCAGTACTTTGGGTTCAAGTCGTTATTTTTGCCCTCTTTGTTGGACTGAGATTATACACGAGATCTCAGATTCTGCACTCTGTCGGCGCAGATGACTTTCTAGTTATCATCGCACTGGTATGTCCTTTACTTCCTCGCCAATAACTCATCCTCAAACTCCACAGGTCTTGCAGATCATCTACTCCGCCTTCGTAACGGCCGGTACAAAATACGGTCTCGGTCGCAAATTCGCAGACATTGGCAACCCCGATGCATACTTCCGAGCCGTCGAGCTGGAGATATACAGCCAAGTAGCCGGGCTCATGGTCATCGGCGTGGGAAAATGCGCCGTCGGCATCTTTTTGCTGCGCATCGTGCGAAACAAATTCCAGAAGGCCTTCATCTGGGCATTTCTCGCGGGTACAGTGTTCATCACGCTGTTTTCTAGTATTGTTGTCGTTGTGCAGTGTGATCCTGTGCAGAGGACTTGGGATCGACGGGTGCCGGGGACGTGTTGGATTGACTTTTCCAAAGTCGGCTTGACTGTTGGATGTGAGTTTCTGAAGACCAGAAGTGGCGGCAAGTACTGATTTGTGTAGCTTGGTTTGTTGTTGCGGACTTTTGCTTCGCGATTCTTCCGTGGTTTGTAATCTGGGAGCTCAACATGAAGCGTAAAGAGAAGATTACTGTCGCGTGCGGCTTGAGTCTCGGTATCTTGTAAGCCACCATTCTGACCGATGCTGAATCATCCTGACTGGCGATATAGTGCTGGTATCTGCGGTATCGTTCGTACGGTCGCTCTCAACGGATTGAACGCAAGTGAATATATCTGTATGTTCCTTTTCCCCACCAACCACTCATATACTCATTTTTGCAGACGACACAGTAGACATGCTCATCTGGTCCGCGACCGAAAGCACTGTCACAATAATGTGTTCATCGATCCCCGTCCTCCGCCCTCTCTACGTGCGCTTCCGCTACGGCAGCCAAGGCGACAGCTCTGGCGCAGCAAGTTCCTACAAACTCCCCATGTACGGCAATCACAGCGGTCGAAAATACGGCAACGGGTCAATGCCAGGCACAGAAACAATTGGTGGTAGCGGACCATCAAACAGAACAGTCATTGCATATAACGCAAATGCCAGCGACGAGAGTATACTTCGTGATACAAAGACTCAGAATGATATCAGTGGGATCAGAAGAACGGATGAGGTGTCGATAAGTTATGGGAAACAAGATGCTGGAGAGAGAGTAAGGGAGTGGAAGTAATAATCGCTTAGAAAGGTCCAAAGGAGTCGGAACGTGGAAAGTTTGACATGGCATAGTTCCAGTCAATGCACGGCATGGGCCTCCCTAGTCCGGAGTCTATCAATTTGTAAGCTCATAATATAGAGTAGTTGCGCAGACATACACGATTTGCTGGACTAGCTGCCTGCTTCGTATGTTGGTGACTCTGGGTGTCAGGTTAATGTTGGCAAGTTGAACCCATCCTGGGTTTTGATCGCGTTACTCTCGGTCCCTTTTAGGTCTCTCAATCCTGTCTGTACCCATAAACTGATGCAACACCTTGGGCAACCTCACAATCCCTTCATCCGCATCCCATCCAATCTCTAGCAACGCCGCCACAACCCTCGGCACCGCCAACACCGTCCCATGTACCGTCCACGGGAACCCCATCACCCCATTTCCAGCTTCGCTTCTCATCCTCGTCGCCAACCGTCGACTCTGGTAATCTGTGCAGAAACTCACAGAGGCGATTTCTCCCCAGGCAGCGTCATGAACTTCGTCCGGTGTTTTACCCACGGCGCGGAAGGGGAAGAAGGCTTTGATCGCGACTCTACGGGCCTCTCTGGCTCTGAGGTTTTGGACTGGCATATCGAGGACACGGCACGTAATTCCGAGGGCGCCGAGGATATCAGTTTGAATGTCGATGATTTCGTCGAAGAAGTACCCCATCTCTTCCTCGTCTGGCTTCGTCCAGGCAAATAACTCCACCTTAGTGAACTCATTCACTCTGTACAATCCCTCCGTATCTGGCCCAGCCTCAGGCCTATAGCATCTTGAAGCAGCGACCCTTCTCAGCGGCAATTCCTCCGGGATTATTTTGTTTGCCATCATACCAGCCAATGCAATACCGCTTGTCCTCGTCAGGCTCAGCCCAGGCACACCTCTAGTCTTATCCTTCTCATCCTGCGCAATGTTGTAAACCTGTTGCTTGCCGCTACTATCCTGAGCTTGAAACCCGCAGGCGGCAGAAATTTGAGAGCGGACTAGGGACGGGGGCGAGACGGGAGTCCAGCCGTTGCGAGTTGTGAAGGTGAGAGCATAGGAGACAAGGGCCTGTTCTAAGAGGGCGCCGACGCCGACGAGATAGTACCATCCCTTGCTGGAGGCAGCGTCGACAGAAGCAAAGTCGAGGATTCCGAGCTGCTTTCCGATGTCGAAATGATGAATATGCTTTCCTTTGCTGTCCTTGATCTGAATGACTTTCTCATCGGCGTTGGCAGAGCAGATATAATCCCAGTCGGGCCCTCTCGGAGTCTCCTTGCTTAAAATATTGGGTAACGCCAGCGCCAAGTCCTCTATCTTGCTCATGATATCCACCTCCACCTCTTCAACTTCAAGAATCTTGATCTTGATCTCCCTCGCTTCCTTGAGCTTTTCTTGAATATTCTTCCCCTCTTCTTCCAGCACTAGAAGCTCGTTGTCTAAAGCATTTGCGCGTTCACATAAAGATTTTACAGCCCACTGCAAAGCCTGGTGATAGTACATGAGCTTAATGATGCGGAATGGGCTGGAGGCGAGGTTAGGTAAGTTTCGTGACAGGCAGGTTTCAGCGTAGAGTTCTGGGTTGTTACGGATATGGTATATATCGAGGGTAGGCATTGCGGCGATTGAAGGGCGGTGGGGGGAGGAGTAGAGCCTTGTGGTTGGGATGCGAGGGATACGCTGACATCGCCGGCATTTGGTTATTATGCGATGCATTCTAGGCTACTATGTTAGAGACTTGGTAGTCAAAGAGAACTTAAAAGTATATTTTAGGGGTTTACATATATTGCGGTAGCGTTAGTATGCGCCCTGTAATGACCTGCAAGTGGGGTAAATATAGCAGATTTTATTAAAATATTGTATAAAGATATAGCAACTTCAATGCCTGGCGCATGAAGGATTAAATGCAGTAGACTTCTGAAGAAAATAGTTATTGCATATAATACAAATCGGAAAGATATCAGTAGTACGGAGTATTAGGAGAACAGATAGCTCATCGATATGTTATTGGGCTTGAGAGATGATTATTGAGTGGAAGTAATGGCCACTTGGAGAAAGGTCCAAACTCTATTTCTGCACGATAAGAAGTGCTCCAGTGAAGGCTGAAGTATTGATAAGGCCTAGATCAGCAGGGTCTGGGCCTATCGTCATTTTTGGTTTAGCGGATATCATTGATAAGCGACCCCGGATAGAAATAATTACAGGCAGCCCCGCCCTCTTCTTTAGTGATCTCGACACTACAACACCCCGTATCCCATGCGCCTCAATTAACAACACGCGATATATACGGAATGACTCATGGATCCTGGTCGCAAGAGGATAGGCTCCATCGCAGAGTCGGCTACGTCGTCTAATCAGCGGAGTAAACGCGCCAAATACGCGCCTGTAGCTTGGTACGCGACTGTCCCTAGGCGCTGGGATTGACTGACCTTGGTAGTAATGAGTGTAAGAAGAAGAAGCTCAAGTGTGTGAGGGAGGAGGGCGATGAGATTTGCAAGAGATGTGATGTTAATAAAGTCGAATGCATCTTTGCTCCTACAGTTCAACCGGCAAAGGAAGATGCTGAGCCAGCGCGAAGACGCTCAACTCAAGAGCCTCAGTCTCAGTGAGTATCTCACCTGCCTCACAAACCATCACTAACACTCCACAGAACAGACGTCGGATCTCTAAGCCAACAAGTAATCGCCCTCCAGAACCAAGTCAACGCCCTTACATCAGCCCTCCAAGACGTATCCCAGCGTCTCCCCCACATAACCCTCTCCTCCACAAAGTCCACTCCCCAGGGCCACTCGTCCACCTACCGCAAAGACATCCGCAACGTACACAACGAGCCGCGCGAGCCTCAATTCGTTGGCCCCACGCGCTCGGCGTATAGCTTCCAGATCGCGGAGAACTCCCTCACAGGCATGGGGATCGAGCCAAACGCTACTGGTGCAAGCACGCCTGCCGAATCGCCCAGTGAGACGGAACCGGTTGTTGAGAGTGAGAATCTTTCGCCAGGGATAGAGGATGTCGAGACACTGGCGAGTTTGGGGATAGCAGAGGTTCAGAGGCTGTTGGATGTTTACAATGAGGAGATCCAGAGCGTTTATCCGTTCATTGACGTTAATGAGTTGTCGAATAAGGCGGTTTCGGTGTTTCAGACGCCGATGGAGAATACGCTCAAAGATGTGCAGGCTATCAAGTTGGCGGTTGCTACGTCAGTTGCTATTGAGGCGCAGGGGTTGAATAATATTAGCAAGAGGCTGATTGATGATGTCGAGCCTGTCATTTGCAGGGTCTCAGGCGAGGCCTTCATCGACCTCCAAGAACTTCAACTCATGATCATGCTGGTAAGTCCATTCTTCACTCCCCTTACAGTTATTGACGGCTCTTAGAGCATCTACTGGTTTCACTGTGGAGAAGACCTCCTCGCCTGGAGAGCCATCGGCAACGCCGGTCGCGAAAGCCTCGAAATCGGTCTACACCGCCGAACCTCGCTCTTTGAAAACTTCAAAACCCCGCCAGAACGAGATTTAGCAATTCGCTGTTTCTGGTGTGTATACATTCTAGACCGAAGGTGGAGTTATGGCACTAGTCTATCGTTCGGCATTTCCGACCGGGACATCGATCCACAATGTCCAGAGCCAGTGAGTTGCCCTCATATCTTGGGAGAAGCGTATACTGACTATTGAAAGAGTGAACAACATCCATATCTTCGGTGCATGGTCTCTTATGCCAAATTATGCTCCAAGGTCTGGGAGGATCTACCGCTTGATTCCTCACCGTTTACGGTCCCAAAGGATAAAGTCGACTTCTTTGACTTTCTGACGCAGAAATGGGTTCACTCTATTCCTGAGGATTTACAGCTCGTGTATCCTCGGCTCTCACAGGCTCCACGTCATCAACCTCGAGTTTTGCAACGCTTGAGAACGCTCCTTTATCTAAGAGGGAACTACATTCGAAACTTGGTTCTACGACATCATGTGATGAGTGCTGAGAATCTACGTTCAGACATGCAGGGCGCTCAACTTGTTGTCAGTCTCGCGCAGGATACGATCCAAGTTCTGGTGAATCTGAACGAGACAAGCGACATCTACGCTCGGCAGAAAGCAACGTTCAATTACTTCCTGACAGGTGCTCTAGCAACAATCCTTTTAGCAGTATGTCACGGCCCAGATGTCTTCGCCGATCGCTGCCGACAAAGCTTCCAAGACGCAGTCCGTCTTCTCAAGAACATTTCTCAGCACGGGCAACTAGGTCGACGACTATGGCGCTCACTAAAAGGAACGATTCATCGCGCTTTATCGCTAGAGTCACCCATCACACCAACTGGGAATACGGCACTCGCGGAGATTCTGCAGCAGGAGACGCCCGAGGTACGACAGCAGCAGACGCTGGTTCCGACCAGTTGGCCGAGAAATGTATTGGGAAATAACTTTATGGAAGAGAACATGGCGGATATGTTTGGTCTGGAGACGGATCTGTTGAATTTGTTCAGTGCATTTGAGCAGGACAATATGTTGAGGCCGGTGAGTCAGGTCAATGGGCTTGATCAAGCTGCGGCATTACCGGATCAGAATGGGGGTGTTGGGCAGGGTGATGATTTGACTCGGTTCAATGGGGGGTTCTAGAAGTCACGGTTTGATGGGACATATCTGGGACAAGACTGTAACAATATCATCAAGTATCAGTTTTAAAGAGCGTGTTCATTGCATAACTATCTCGTACATATTGAGCCATGACCCAAGTCCCGTCCAATCCCATGGTACTATCGTGTTAGAGCAATTTAGCCCCCCCATAACGCGTGATCAAAGAAAATACACATCCCTCCTATTTTTAACTACCACTATCCAATTTATTTATCATGGACTCCATCACGAAGTCCTTCCACAACATCAAGGTCAACGACCGGAACCTCAAACTTGTACTTGCCACGGAAGACATAGTACGCAATACCAGCAAATAGCCATCCAGACAAAACAACGATGGAGTAGTTCATGTTCTGCGGTGTGACCGGCATAGCAGATGGAAAAGTGCTAAAGATGACAACGACGGTGATCCATATCAAGCTGATAACATTGGCAGCCGGGCCAGCGATACGTCCGAGCTTGAAAGGACCAAAGCCATTGGAAGTCTGAATACTTTTCCTGGCGAAGAGCATAGCGATAATGGGGAAAGCATAGCTGACATACATGCCGATGATAGACATGGACAGAATAGCATTGAAGGCAGTGGTGTTGCCGAGGTAGATGAGGCCAAGGAGCATCTGGAGAACAATAACAACCACGACAGCGTAAACAGGGATCTGAAGACGCTTGTCGACTTTGCTGAGCTGTTTGTCAAACGGCGTTGACTTATCTCTTGCAAAAGCCCATAAGGTTCTTGACGTAGATGTAGTTCCAGCGACAGTTGCTGCAACAGCAGTGCATGTAATGATGACAGAGAGAACAGTGCAGCCTGCTTGACTCTTGGTCGCGTCAAGGAAGATCTGCATGAAGGGAAAGCCAGTGGGTGTCGCGAGAAGTTTCTCAAGGGGACCGGTTGAGAAGAGGAAGATGATACAATAGACGAGGCCCATGAGACCGTTGACGGCTACACTGCCTACCATGGCGAGAGGGACATTGCGGCTGGCGTGGGGCATTTCTTCAGCTAAATGGCAAGCGGCATCGTATCTGTGACGGTTAGATGGCGATGTAGTGGGTGGGAGAAGGGGACATACCCGAGGAAGGGATACACGGCAGACAAGAGGCCGACTAGCCATGATACGCCGTCGTTGGCCCAGCCACTGGAGTTGGTCACCTCTGTAAAGACAAACGAAGCCGAGTTCTTGGGTGCCATGACACCGAGAACGACAACGATGGTGACAAAGCCAATGATATGAATGGCGCCTAGAGCCGTCAGTTCCGAAAGATCTCCCGGCAGCGGAAGTACTTACCCGAGACCGTGTTAACATACGGCAGAAGTCGATCCCCCCAGATGTTGAGAGCAAGCGCGTAAACCAGAACAAGCCAGTAGAACAACATGCCCTGCCATCGTTCAGGAACATACGTATCGTTGTTGACGATTATAAGAGCCTGCATTTGGAGCCCGGCAGCAAAGGCAGCAGACGATGTGAGGACAACCTGTCCGCCAATGCTGACCCAGCCTGTGACCCAAGACGCGGTCGATCGAATTGAGGTGGGCGAAAGGGCTGCTACCCAATGGTATTGACCTGGAAACCATTCCGAGCGTTAGTCTCGAGCTAAAAAGGTTGCGTCAAGGGGTGAATACTGACCTCCAGCTGTAGGATATATCGAAGCGATCTCACCGAGAGAACTGGCGATGCAGATTGAGCATACTGCTGATAGTAGACTGGTCATGTTAGAGGTGCTTGGTTTCGGGAACGGGAGACGGACTAGTTGTAGAAGAGACATGGTGCTCCGCCGGTGATGAGAGCTGTAGCGACGACAGAGGATAGAGCTTCCCACGTCGCCATGAGACAAACGCATAGAGCACAGAGAGAGAAGAGAGAATACTGTCTTCGAAGTTCCTGCGTATGACCCAACTGCGCAAGACGCAGGGCATCATCGCTCGAAACTCCAGTACCGCCCTCAAGACTCATGGCGTCTTTATCAACAGCCACGTTAGCTTTCTCAAGTTCGCCCATTTTCATAAACAAAGAATAATAAATGTTTTATAAGTAAAAATTTTCTTCTTCGCCAGTTAGTGGAGCTATGGAAAGCACGGAAATGTCGTTCATATAAATCATCTTGATAAGGGAAAAGAGATATCAGAGCACCCCCCTGCTGGCATATCACATCTCTGATCAAAACACACGCTAAACAGGGGCCGTATCAAGAACGCGGGGAGATCTAACCTAGTACGTATTAGCAATTCTTTACGAGCTGCGTTATCACTCGACAAGGGTGTTGATAGAGGGTGAGATAAGAGAGATTGCGCTTCCGCGTTCCGAGAGTCGTTCCGAGTGCAACGCTCGGAACGAGACCTTCCGGGGTGTACTATTTGACAGCTGCGAGACATCACATTTGCTGACATGATCGAACCAACAAACCACAATTCCTTTGTCCTGAGTCTTTTTTGTCCAACCATGGCTGCACCACATCCTCTGTCTGCCCTCTCGGCGCGTGAGACTAACCTTGCTCGCGACATCGTCAAGGCGTCTCACCCCGGTGCGCTGCTGTTCTTTAGACAATCGTACCTGTTTGAGCCTCCCAAGGAGGAAGTCCTCAGATTTCTTGAGCTTGAGCACTCTGGCGCTCTGACTGCTTCTTCGCCGAGACCTGATCGCTGCGCGCAGGTTTTCTACGATGTCATTGGCGGAGACCAGAAGTCGCTGTATTATGAGTCTGTGGTTGATGTCACGAAGCGGAGTATTGTTGCGCAGGAGCTTATCAGCGAGGAGCACCAGGCCAGTCTGACTACGTGAGTTCACCTTTTAGTTGTGACTTTGAATTGATGCTGATTTGTTAGGGCTGAGTTTGACATCGTGGTTGATTCCTGCAAGAGATCAAAGTTGTTCCAGGATAAACTCAAGGAGATCAAGCTCCCCGAGGGTTTCGAGACAGTCATTGAGCCCTGGCCTTACGGTGCACCAGACCTTGAAGATGGCAACACGCGCTACTTCCAAGCACTCGTCTTTGCGCGCGATGCTCGCAAGGGTCAAGACTCCAACTTCTACGCTTATCCCATGCCCTTGATCCCCGTCATGGATGCTGCTACCAAGGAGATCATCCGCATTGATGAGCCTGCTACAGGCGGTAAGGGCGATAGCCTGACTGGCAAGACCTATGCTCCTGGAGCTCTTGACCATTGCCAGAGCGCAGAGTATGTCCCTGAACTTTTGGAAAATGGCACGAGGAAGGATTTGAAGCCCTTAATGGTTGTGCAGCCGCAAGGACCTAGTTTCTCGATTACAGAGGGGAATCTTATCCAGTGGCAGAAATGGAGAATGAGGGTTACGTTTAATCCTCGTGAGGGAGCTGTCATCCACGATATTCGCTACGATGGGCGCCCTGTTCTTTACAGATTGAGCATCAGCGACATGGTGAGTTTGCTGAGGAATACTTACGAGAGATGTACTAACGTGCGTAGACTGTTCCTTATGCTGATCCTCGTCCACCTTATCACCGCAAGCAAGCCTTTGACTTTGGCGATGGCGGTCTTGGCCACTGCGTCAACAACCTCACTCTCGGCTGCGACTGTCTCGGCGTGATCAAGGTAAGCTGGACCCCAAGCTCTCGAGTTTTATTATTAACAAATCTAGTACTTTGATGGTGTTCTCACAGACGCAGATGGCTCTGCGCAGGAAACCAAGAATGTCATCTGTCTGCACGAGCAAGACAACGGTATTGGCTGGAAACACACCGACTGGCGAACCGGTCGCGCTGTAGTAACGCGTCGACGTGAGCTCGTCATCCAGTTCATCATCACTCTCGCCAACTATGAGTACGTCTTTAATTACAAGTTCGACCAAGCAGCCGGCATTGTCGTGGAGGCCCGCGCCACAGGCATCGTGTCCGTTGTGAACATGGACCCCGGCAAGACAGCACCCTGGGGAAACATCGTCAGCCCCGGTGCCCTAGCCCAGAACCATCAGCATGTTTTCTGCGTGCGTATCGATCCTTCTATTGACGGTAATGAAAACACTGTTGTGCAAGAAGAGAGTCTTCCGTTGAGGATGGACAAGAGGACGAATCCTAACGGAAACATGTATGAAGTGCGCCAGACGCAAATCACCACATCTCAGGGCATCGACGCCGCTCCCTTCAGCAACAGGGTCTTCAAGGTGCAGAACCTGAACAAGCTAAACCGCGTATCGGGTAAACCCGTCGGTTACAAGATCACACCCCCCGCAACACAACTCCTCCTCGCCGACCCCAACAGCACACAAGCCAAGCGCGCCTTATTCGCCAAGAAGCACTTCTGGGTGACCAAGTACAAGGACCACGAGTTCTTCGCTGGTGGGCGGTACACATTGCTTAGCAAGAGTGAAATCGGCGGTGTGAGCGACGCAGCTGATCGGTGCGATGATGTGTTGAATCAGGATGTTGTGTGCTGGAGTGTCTTTGGACTTACGCATAATCCGCGCGTGGAGGATTGGCCGGTCATGCCGGTTGAGATGCTGCAGCTGCATATTTCGCCTTCGGATTTCTTCACGGGGAATCCGGCGCTTGATGTCCCGTCTGACAAGGATGTTGCGTCGAGGTTGACGAGTGGGTGTTGTAAGGAGGAAGGACCTAAACTGTAATTGGTGGCATCGGGAGTCATATGGCATGGCATGAGATTGTAAATCAGTGTTTGAATTATTTTAGCATGAATGAGATTTCTTAAGATAAATGCCGGTTGCTGTTTATAATGTGAAAACGATTTCGATAGTACATATTTTGGAACAAAACATTTGTTAAAGCTTTTGTTAAAGCTTTTGTGGCATGCTACCCTAGAGCCCTCGCGAATTGATGATTGTGGGTCTGAGATGAGATGAGATGATTAAACGCAAGATACTCCACTTACCCCCATTGAGTTAGTCTAGAGCGCATTACGCGATTACTCCTTACGAGACTGCGCAGAATGACGTCGCCTAGATAGTAACATTACTCTGCCCATACATTTGTCGTCACGGGTCTCGGCCTTTGAATCTTGGCACTCAACTGCCGACTCGCCAAGAACTGTATTACGGGCCGCTAGAGATTACAGAGATATTACCTGTCCCTTTGTTGACCTCGGTGCTGGTGATCTCTTAGAAATGGTGTCAAGAAAAGTTAAAAGGTGGCTATTGTAGATATCGAATGCTATACGGGATGGATTTAATGAAGAAAACTTTGAAGCCATCGTAAGTAACGTTCAACCTATTTTGCTGTACTAGCTAGAATTAGGAGGTGATAGCTCCAGGGGCTAGGTTTAGGTTATGTCGTGTAATCCTTTGGGAATAGTGTTTCAGCTCTTCTTTCCATAATACGAAAGCATTGCTTGGCACGGTCTTTGGCGTCATGTACCTGCCATGCTACAAACTGACTGCCTGACCCGAAGGAGCCGAGAGTCGATCGGGCTGAACGGTCAGGATCCTTCTGACCCTAGTGACAGGCTGGCGTTGGAGCTCGGAGTTGAACTCGTATGGCGCCTATTCTCTTATCAGCATAACGTGATACGAAACAGTCTAGCCATAAAAAGCACCAAGAATCCATCAAGGTAAGCTTTAAAATTTCACGAGTTGCCTGAAACAACCACCAACCCAACTTATATATTTTAAGTTAGATCGAAATTGTCTTTTATCTTTCAAGACTGCCAAATTCTGCCCAGCCCAGGTCTCAGTTGACTGCACAGCAACTCACTTCAATTGAATACACAAGAGAGGACCGTTAGATTCAGATCATATACATTTAGATTACCCAGATAGGCAAATAACAAAGAGCTATCATTGGAAAGGAAAGGTATGGTAGAATTTGAAGACCAGTGCTAGCAAATTAGTCTAATACTGGTGACGTAATCAAGACTTACTTAACAAATCATGGCAGTTCTGCTTATTCTGCATAGGCTTGACGTCTATAGAGTTTCAACATTAGGTTGTCAGAGCTAGCTGCATGGTCTTGGCTGCCACCGTATCTAAGCAGGGGCCCCTTCTCTACCTGTCACGGCCATGAAAGATATAAGAGCTATCCTACATTAGAGGTTTATCTTGAGTTCTGTGAACCGTGCCAGACGCCTTAGTCGTACGATGTTAGAAGCAGCATATCAGTACTGTAGACGCGTGGCGAACCCTTTTGACGGCGTTGTTGCTACGCCCTCAAAAGAGCGTCCGCCTTCAATTAATACTCTAGGTCAGTTGGAAACTATGCGTCAGGTAGGTGGGATACAAACTTTACAAAAGTGCCTTCACCAAGAACGCAGCTAAGCTATAGTGTGTCGGGTTGATATGTTTCGTTGAGACGTCAAAATCTTGGACTATCAATCAGTCACCTATCTCAATGAAGCACCTATGAAGTATCAACAGCCAACCCTATAGGATTTGTTGACTGAGTATTGATGTGGAGGCTATCTCCTTATAGGGTCACGAATGGCAATGAATCGTAAAATGTTCATGTCAATCAATGGGCTGGAGCTATAGTGTATCCCATTGTGTGACGTATAGAAGAATGTAGAGACCTTAAGCTTCTGCCAGTAGACCATGGCTTGTGCTTGCAAAAGAGTTTCAAGGTGAGATTGATCCCTGTTGCAAGAACTTTAGAATATGGTCTTGTTTTAGCTTTTGTAGGATACGAATAGCATGATAGATACGTGAGTAACTCCGGCTTGCTCGGACGAATGATTGCGTATTCGAAGAGACCTGTAGCAAGTCTTTTATCTATAAAAGGCAGCGTAATCCCCTTCCACTGAGGTGTTCATCAACAGCAACAGCAACAGCAAACTACTTCTCATTGATATCAACTCCTCCTCTCTCTTAAGTGTCTCTTACACCGGTAAGCCCAGAACCATTCAACTTTTAGCAAGGATTTTCTTATTAACAAATCGTTTGAGATTAGATCATGAAGCTTCTCAAGATTTCTGTCATGTTGACTGCCTTTGCTTCGACCATTTTGGCGCTGCAAAAGGTCGAGGTCAGAGTCAGTGACGAAATGGTGGAAGCTGGAAATGTCGATCTGTATGCGGCCACTTGGGAGGCTATTTATGCCGAAAATGGAAATCAAAGAGCCGTTACCATCGACAAGACATATCCTGGCCAGTTGAAGCGCTGCCACCAAGACCTAAAGACCGAAATCAACGTGCGTGTCTACGTCGAAGGCGCATGGGGTGATACCGGCGGTGTCAACCATAATAACCGGGATGCCTTGGTCCAAGCAGCATGGAAAGCAATCAACGAGATTTCGGCCAAAGATGCATATGACATTTTTACCGGATGCTGCTTCACCGACCCTATCCAGCCCTCGTGTTCTGTCCCATCAAAGTTTGTTTGTGACCGAGACTCATGTGGCTGCCAGGGAGGACAGCACGCGGTCTGTTCTACGCGAACAACAGGACATAAGGTTCCTTCCCACATCAACGCGTATATATACGATGATCACGACAATCTCCTATCTGACCACCTTCAAATCACCTTCTCGTCTTCCTCTACGGAGCCAAGCGGCGGATGTGGCATTGTTGGAACGCTTACATCAGAATTCGCTGGCTTTGCCTTTCCTGGTGTACTTGGGACGCTTTTCCAGAAAGGCATCGAGCTTGGCTGCGGGGCCTGAAACGGTCGCCGCATAGCCTAATGGACTGCACTAAGTCCTTTCTGATGATTTAAGCTCTCAGCCACAAGTTTCAACTGCTAATGGACTGCACACATCAATTTCATCGGGCCATTAGGCATAACGGGTATATATTTACGCAGTATATGCCGTATTTTCTTTCGTTCAGGCAGCTCTTTTACGTGTGATGGTTTGGTGCAACAAGTATCTTAAGAAAATGTTAGCTAGAAAAGGAGATTAAATTTAATATAAGTTTTCTCTCACTATATTGACTGCTGAACGTCCCCTTGATGACAGATCGCACCGCTATTTTCTATCTCATGTTTAGTAGATCCAGGCCATAGTGATCTAAAAACATACTTCTTGACTGAGGGAGTTTCTTTTTTATTATAATCTGCTATAAAGCTTTTCCCTGCAGTTTGCGAACTTTTATTCCGTATACTGTCAAGCCTATTAGAAATATTTTCGAAATTCCCTAAGTAAACTCCGGATCGACAAGGACAAGTCAAAGAGATAACTAAAGTTCGTCTGCCTTGAATCTTTCCATCGCCGCCTGTCTTGTCATACCCAAGCACGATCTGGGACTGCTCAAACTTTAGGGGTTACTACATTCTTCAATGCGTCGATGCCAAAGCCGTTTGAGTATTGCGCTGATATAAATATTTCCCAGTTAATATTCTCTTATCAAAGATCTACATGAGTCTAAGGATCGAATTGGTAACCATTTGCTGCTTAGTGCCAGATTCGCAGGTCTCAAGACTTTGTGGTTTCTGGAGGGAACCAGCCGCATATATGTCATGTCTGCAGGTATGCATCCAACTGTATACCGAGCCCGATCTGTGACATTTTGACCAAGGGAGCTGCATTTCCTAAACCGGAACAATCACATGATAATTATCCCTCATTTAGGGATCAAACATTGCATTTTAGAAACGCAACAAAGATAAATAATTCAATCACTTTATACTTTTTCTAATAAAAAGAAATAGGTTAAATAATTAATAGTTAGTTTAATAATTTACATTACCTATCTAATAAGAGATCTTTTATTTAGATATATATAATTATCTAGATATTGTGTCTACTTACCTAAATAGTCTTATGACTGGCTTAAATATATAATATATCCTTCAGGTTTGCCATGATATTCTCCTGCTTCATTAAGCTCAAGTGACCGTCACCATTTGATACACAAAGTTTTGCCTCCGGGATCATTGAGGCTACTTTTTCCAGCGTCGCCATTGATACATTAGTGTCCCTTTCTCCTTGCCAGAACACCATTTGTCCCGGCTCAACGTCTAGCTCGCCTAGTTCGAATCCCCAACCCATCCCCAGGAGTTTATACTCCCACGCTACAGACCCCGACCCGTTCCGTACTGCTTCACAAAGGCTCTTTACTAATGCGTACCTCAGCTCCATATCGCCCTTCCATGTGTCATAGTCTGGCCCATGATGTGACGCCAGGTCAGCTTCCCACTGCTGTTCCAGCCTCTCTGGATGTTTCTCGTCACGCGCGAGGGTCCCAAGCTTCCAGTCGAATACATAAGCCAGTAAGCCAGGAGCCCATCTTGCGACTTTAAAGATCGCCCATGAAATTGTGTTCATGCCCTCGGAGCCGAGGCTCGCGGGTAGAACCGATGCGACCAGCGAGGCGCCTACGAGACGTGTTCGAGGGATACAGTGCCAGCATGCAAGAGCAAAAGGCCCGCCTCCAGAAAAGCCCAGCACGGCGAAGCGTTGGATATTCAGATGGTCGGCGAGCGCGACAACGTCAGCTGGAAAGTTGAGCAATGTGCGGTTGGGCTGCGGAGTAGATAGACTGCTACCTGGGCGCGAGATAGCGACGATGCGTATGTCGTGCAGTACGGCAGAGGCGTGGAACGCGGCGGCCTCATGATGTGAGCCGGGGATGCCGTGGAAATGGAGGACGGTGGGGATATTCTGGGCGGGAGTGTCACCACCAACTCCGTAAATTCCATAAGCTAGTGTCCTGCCATCCGAAAGGATGTGTGTTTTGGTATTTTCCATACCATCAAATTGCATATAACACACGTGAAGCTGAAACTTTTATTTTTGGTCGCGAGAAATGATTGCGGCAGAAAGAGGTGCAGAATCTCTCGTGTCCCTAACCTCAAGCGGGGCCTTAACTCGGTCTCGGTGCCGAGTCCGAGGCAGAATGAGGCTCATCAAGGCCCCCACTCGTCATCGTATCAATTAGTCATTGAATATGAAACCTAGGTCTACCAAACATCGCCGGTTCCTTTCCCCTTATATCCATGCTCTTTTCCTTTGCTTTAATTCCGAGGTCTAGCCTCTGTGGTTTATCTGAACAGGTGCTCAAATCACATTCGGTCAACTCTTGAGAACGGCGAGTATTATTTTCAGTTGTACTCTTCTGCTGCCTCGTGCTTTCATCAGAATATCAAAAACCTGCCCCAATGACAAAAATGAGTGATTCTCTTCCCTCCATAATGAAGGCAGTTCGTCGAACAGGCAGCGAGCCACTTGAAACGACCCTCGTCATCAACGACCAGGAACCTATGTCCAAACATACGTACAACCTACTTCCTGGCCATGTGCTCGTTAAGGTTGCGTATACTTCGTTGAATCCATTCGACTATAAAGTGGCCGAGGCCCCAGTACTTGGCAATTGGGCATTCAGAGGAATTCCGTGTCTCGATTTCGCAGGCACTGTTGCCAGGTCTGCCGATTCCGAGTTCCAGAAGGGTTCAAAGGTGTTTGGCCAAACACAGCCAATGAATTTTGGAGCTTGTGCCCAATACATTGTGGTAGCAGCACAATTGTGTAACCCAATTCCTGACAACGTTCGACTTGAAGATGCTGCAACGTTTGGCATTGCGGGTCTCACGGCATATCAGATGATTGTGCTTTTCATTGGAAACGGAGGTGACCGGAAGAAGATCTTGATTAATGGTGGCAGCGGCGGGCTCGGTACCTACGCTATTAAAATTGCCAAAGCACTCGGCTGCTACGTTACGGCGACGTGCTCGGGTGCAAATATAGATCTTTGCAAAGAAATTGGTGCTGATGAGGTCATCAACTATCGCGCCGAAGATGTTGTCGATGCATTAAAACGGAGTGGCAAGCAGTATGACCTCATAATTGATCCCATTTTCTCTGATCCGCGGCTCTACTGGGAATCTCACGAATATCTCAACCCGAGAGGCTCATATGTTACAGTCGTTGGCGGGCTGGATTGGAAATTTGTTAAACAGCTAATCACTATCTTTCTGTGGCCTAAAGCATTGGGCGGGGGTCAAAGGCCGTTTCAGATCATCGGCCGCAGCTCTTCTAGAAGCGACTACGGAGTTGTGAAGCCGGTCATTGAACAAATCTATGATATGGAAGATATAGGCGCAGCTTTTAAAAGGATCAAATCGGGCCGAGCGCGTGGAAAGTTGGTGGTTAGGATTGCAGACTAGGCAAAGATTTGCTACAGATAAATCAAGAAGCCTCAATTAGAGACCGTGACATTTAATATCATGGAAATAATTCTGAATTATTCCAACTTCTAGGTCTATAAAATCCTACACGCTTCAAGATTACTTGTTTCAGGAGGCATCTCTTCATACTCTTATCTCGCCTCCTGCCTTGATTCTCGCTTTCTATCTTACTTAGCTCTTCTATCGGCTTCCCACTCATGCACTTACAAGTAAAGAACATTTCTTATATAATAATTGCATTAAGATATCATAGTGGAATGTTTAGACTTATTAAAACCCTAATAGTAGACTTTTACTAGAGCGATAGGCCTTAAACTTAATAGAGCTATTAAGGATTCTAGAATGCTATAGATTGCTCCCTTAAGTCTTAATTAGTATAGTAGGAATAGAATTTTAGAGGTTTTTATCTAGCTTTATATCCCTTAAAATCCTTTTTAGCCTGGCCTTATATCTTAAATAAGTATCTAGCGTTTTACTATCTTTAAAATTGCAATTAAAGTATACCTATAGCAGTTACTTTAGCATACCCGTTCTAAATCTAAATATGGGCGTGATGTCATGCGGCAGAAGAGTTAGGAGATAGAGTCCTTCGTCTAGCTACTGGAGAAATTGCTTGAGCTTACCTACCAGCATATGCCTTCCATACTAAACCTGAATTGGAACAAGCGTAAGGAGTTCTGGCAACATGTTATACCCCGCCTTGAACCTGTGTCCACTGTCCACCAGTGCCTCGCCGCCCAAGCTCAAATGCCATGTCAAGTCAAACAACTAGACAATTCATCAGAACAATATCGTCTGGATAGGCACTTATTGTCACGGATCTCGGCCTTTCCATCTTGGCACTCAACTGCCGACTCGCCAAGCCTATACCGCGGGCCGCTGGAGATTACGGAGATACTGCCTGACCCTTTATCGACCTGCCCCCATCTGCGTGATTTATTTCGTCCACTAACTCCGCGCCATCGGAATCGCCACTGCGGTTCCGAGCCCATAACCGCGGCCCAATCGGAAGACTCATTCCTCTCCATCACAATGCGGCTCCTGCTGGATAGTGGCACTTGATACTACATTATCGTATATTCCCTTCAACAACTGAAACGGTGCAAGCAGGGCGGTGGATTAAATATACGTAAGATATGGAGATGATCTGACTGCGGTGAAGTAATGAGTAAAAAGAGGAGGCGTTTGTAAGACCCTGGATTATGCATAACCCCTCATGTAACATGGTCAGTGCTATACCGGAACATAACATCCTGGATTCCGAGTGGAATGGCCGTCGTAATTTACATAAGTAATATGCATGCGGTTTCACTGCGCTTCTCTTCTCTCGCCGTGTAGCTTATCGACTTTTTGCTGTCTGATAAGATCTTGATAAGTGGATATTATTATTATTTTATACCTGAAATACACAAACTCAATATGGCGGAACTCACCATTACCGGCGCAGCTGGTCGCAAGATCACACGTACGTTACACTCACAAATTCCCATTACGTGCATCATTCTCACTGACTCTCAGTCCCCACCGGTCTCTTCATCGACAACACCTTCACCCCCGCAGAAGCCAGCAAAACCGTCATAATCGAGAATCCCACTACCGCCTCCCCCATCGGTTCCGTGTCCGCCGCCCAGACCTCCGACGTTGACCGCGCTGTGCTGTCTGCACGCAAGGCATCAGCGACATGGAAGACTACACCTCCCCAGGAACGACGCCGTCTGTTGAATAAGCTAGCTGATCTTATTGAGCGCGATGTTGAGGACTTTGCATCCATTGAGGCTGTCGATGCCGGCATGCTGTACAACATGTCCATGGGCATGAGTGTTCCTCAAGCAGCTGAGACGTGTAGATACTTTGCGGGCTGGGCGGATAAACTTGATGGGCAGAGCATTGACTATGAGAGTGGCCTTGCGTATACCAAGAGAGAGCCAATTGGTGTTTGTGCAGCTGTTGTACCTTGGAACACTCCTCTGTAAGTCACATCCCTTCACACCTTTCCCTCAGTACTAACAATCACAGCATGATCACCTCATGGAAGCTAGCTCCCGCCCTCGCAGCCGGCAACACCCTCATCATCAAAACCCCCGAGCTAGCCCCCCTCTACGGCCAAAAACTCGGCCAGCTCATCGTCGAGGCCGGCTTCCCCCCCGGCGTGGTCAACATCCTCTGCGGTCTCGGCACCGTCGCAGGCCAAGCGCTCGCCGACCACCACGAAGTCCGCAAGCTCTCCTTTACCGGCAGTGTCGGCGTCGGGCGCACCATCCTCGCCAGCGCCGCAAAGTCCAACCTCAAGCGCGTGACCCTCGAGCTCGGCGGTAAAGGCCCTAGTATTATCTTCTCTGATGCGGACTGGGAGAATGCGCTTATGTGGTCTACTATGGGGATTACAACGCACAATGGACAGATTTGTGCGGCGGGGAGTAGGATTTATGTGCAGGAGGATATTTATGATAAGTTCGTAGCGGAGTTTTCGAAGAGGACGAAAGATGCTGTTATGGGTGATCCTTTGTTGCAGGAGACGATGAAAGGACCTGTTATTATCTCAACGCAAAAGGAAAGGATCATGGGCTTCATTGCGAAGGCCAACTCAGAGGGAACACAAGTCCTCCATGGGGGTTCTCAATCGCACGACTCAAAGGGACATTTCGTCCCCAACACAGCATACGTCAACGTCTCACCGTCAGCGAGCATCATCCGCGAAGAAGTCTTCGGTCCCGTCGCCAGCATCGCCAAGTTCAAGACAGAGCAAGAAGTCATCGATCTCGCGAATGACAACGTCTACGGTCTCGCTGCTTCAGTGTTCACAAATGACATCAGCAAGGCGATCCGCGTGTCGGATAAGATTGAGTGCGGATTGGTCTGTGTTAATTCGTGGGGAAGCGTTAATGCGAATACGCCGTTTGGAGGGATTAAGCAGAGTGGTTTTGGAAGGGAGAATGGCGAGGATGCGCTGCATGATTGGACACAGGTCAAGTGTGTCAAGGTCAATGTTTTTAAGCTATAGATTCTGATACAAATGCCACGGAGTTACCAAACTACTATGAGATTGTTGAAATGTCCTGTTCTGGTGTTTGTGATGACTTCCTCTTGCGGCATGACCAGAAACTACCCATTTCGGAAGTAAACTCACTAATTCCCCATTAAGTACTTACCCGACACTAAGAAGATAGAACTAAAAAGGCGCGCTCGCTTCGCTATCAATTGACGCGTGTGGCCCTCGTTAACGTCCATGATAAGCGAGTGTTACAAACACGTGAGTGTTACAAAAATCCCTCAACCTACAACATGTCTACGTCGTCAACTGTTTCTTCACCACCCAATATGCCTGAATTCAATAGTGAAGCTAATGTTATTCTCGCACTTCGTGCCCTTAAAAATGACCGAAAATTAACTCTCCGACGCGCCGCAAAGATCTATGAGGTTGATCCAATGAGACTATGGCGCCGACAGC